ATAATAAATATTCAAAACATCAGTACCTTGGCGTGTCACAACTCCTGAATCAAATATTTGAGTGATTTTATTTTAAAATATATTCAATTTATCTTAAATTTTTCAATTTCACTACAAACTATAAAACATTAAATAATGTATTTTTCATATTTTATCATAGATTCGAATAATAGCAATTTTTAAAAAATATGATAATGTTTGTACTCAAATTCAAAATTCCTGAGAAATATTGAAGTTTATACGTCAAGTCCTCGTTTTAACTCAAGTGTTGGTAAAAAATTACCTACAGACCCGCCCTTTGCACGACAGTCATCTTGAAAACAATGCAAACGGCGAAGTTGTGGTGAATGCACGTATAGTTCCAGTCAAAATTTCAGTACTGTGGTGAGTAATTATTTTCTTACGTATATATATTTCATTGTAATTTATATAAGGCTATATGTTTGTTGATAAGTAGCATCCACTAGTAAAAAATATCAGTAAAATACTTAATTCCGAATTATAATCTCAAATTTGTATCCCATTCATCAGTACCGTGTCGTCAGTTCCATGTTCGATGTTTCGGTTATCTTTTTTTCGCAAACTTCAATTTAAATTCTGCTTGCGCAGAACTTGTTTATTTAATGTCATTATAAACTCATATAAATTTGGTGTGGGTCTCATATCTAATAATTGAGATATCGGTGTACCCAAAATCCACCAGCCGCCACTGATGTGTGGTATTATTTGATTTTAAGATATTTAATGTATAATAGGCTCAAAGTTGCAATAAATCTTATATTTTCCAATAAATTATGTGTTTAATTAGTACCCTGGTATACTCGTCATTTCCCTTGCATTCAAATTTAGAAAACACAGATATTTATTATCATAACAAAATACTGTTTAATTTTCTCCGAAAACTATATAAAAAAAATGGTAGCTCTTCTTACTTTTTTTTACACTTATTGACATGGAAACTAAGTAACTAACTAAATTTGATTTTGTTTAGTTTCCACATGTGCTCACTGCAGTGATTAAAAAAAAACAGTCAACTTCAGTTTTGGGGGATAATCTTTTTTAATAGATTTCACAAATCATATTCTGTCAACATAGACATTTTAATGGTGATATTCTAAAAGCTTTTAAATAAATGAAGTTACAATCAATAAAATAACGTAACTTTTAAGTGCACACTAATATTGAATTCTAAATGTATCCTACAAATTTAAAATTGATCCTTGCCACCTTAATTGATACAATGCTTTTATAATTAAGAGGAGGAAGTTCGTGATTTCCGGGCAAGATAAAAGCTTTTGCTCTCCACCGTTTATTGATTCATCGTTAAAAATGCTAATTTCCACGAAATAATTCAGTTAAAGGATTATCTGATTTCATCCGGCCTGAAATCTTTCTTGTCGAATTAGCCTTATCATATTTATTCAGGTTCGACAGTAATTAATTTTTGCTAAGCTCGTTTCTAACTCTGGTGGTTTCTAACAGGTGGTCAGGACAATTTAGCTTTCAGAGACATTTTGAAGCCATTGGTAAAATGATTCTACTTGACATAAAGTTAAACTTCCTTAAGTTTTGGAATTAACACTTAAGGAATTTAACGTCAGTAATAGTATATTAAAGAACTAATGTCATAAGACTTAATTTAAATCGAATTTTACTTTCGATACAGCGAGTAATATTTCATAGGAATTGACTGCTAAATGTCCTGTATACAAATTGCGGTTGACGATAATTATTAGTGGCTGATTTTTTCGCTATTACATTTTTGACTAATTCATTTTCAGAGAGTAAGTTATATAGTGATTTCTTCGTCACAGGACATTTTGCAGAATAACAGTGATTTAAATACAGTACATGATAGAGAACATAAAAAACTAATGGCAAAAAAATTATAATAAATTCGGAAAATACTTTAAACATACCACCCGAAAAAATATTAGATATATATAAATCATCCTGTTTCGGCATAAACATTATAAATGCTTCACAAACTAGAGATATCACACTTAATGATATTTGCAACAAACTATTTCAGAAGTCAGACCAAGGAATTAGTAGTTACCTTCAGAATCCAGAAAAGGGATGAGGAATCCGAGAAAGAAATATATGAATTATATGATATTTACAAAAACGAAATAAAAAAATTACCTAAAACAGCAAATTTATCTTTAAAAAATATTTAACAATTTATGTTTATATAAAAATTGTATGTCCAATAACTATGGTCCAATTACTATATAAAATGTCCAATTACTATACTTTTTTGCATGTTTCTATAAAACTAATATTAAAAATTCAAATATTCTTATTTTTAAGTAAATGTATATTATTATTTAATTATTCATAATATTTTTTTTAGATTTTAGTTGAAAAAGAAACAAATTAAATGAAATGTTTCCAAAAAAGGAATTAAATGAAATACAATCCTTTTTACCAATTTGTTAAAACAAACAAACAAACAAACAAACAAACTGCATTTAAAAGTAAAACAAGTTAACACTGTTTATTTTGTTTTACCTTTTGAACAATCCTTTTAAACATTATATTAGCCTGTCGAAATTAGCTACACAAAAAAATATGCATTTTAAACTTGCTGGGCTTTATTTTACTTTATTGCAGTCTTTACTCGAACAAGAAAGCAATAAAAAACATGTTCTAATTAAAACAAAAATGCTTGTACAAGCACTAAAAGGTGATCTCGACAAGATGAACGAATTCCGTTTAATAATCAAAAATGTTTGCGAGCGCATTTTATTTTATTGCAGCAAGCAATGTTTAATGAAAGAAAAATAAGGGCAGATAACGATATAATTAACTTACTTCTCTATTAACCACCCTTCTAAAACTTTTCTCTCTTGAAACAGTAAACTTTATGTAATAAAATTAGAATTAGTTTCGAAGTCAATTAAAAAGAGCGTATCCGAAACCTTTGCTTATTTTTATGGCTACAGCATAATGCCTGCTTAATTAATTTAAACAGGTTGTTCAAACAGTTACTGGCAATCATTATTTGCTCAAGAGTACCCAGTTTTAAAAGAGCTTTCATTGTTTACTTCATCACCACTTAATAATAGTAAAGTGACATTTTTGAGGCCGATTAATAATTATTAAATTAAAATTAAAGACAAAGGCAAAGGCAGGAAGAACAGCTTCATCCTAGAACAACAAGAAGAAGAAAAAAGACAATTAACATGCCAGTCTTCATAAAATGATAGACGAAATAGAAAACGATAGAAAAAATAAATAAAATGAAGATGTGGAAAAGATAATCTACATAAAATTGTAGATGGACAGCAGAAAATTTTAAACGGACTTTGACACAAATTGAAGAAACAAATGAAAGAGTTGTTCAAGTTGAAGAAAACGATAAGAAAAGAGTTCTCAATTTAAAGAAAGAGTGCCTGAAGTAAAATAACCTGTTCTTCAAGTAGACAATAAGTGGTCAAAGTTCAAAGTCATAATAATGTACAGGAATGTACAGTTTGAAGCAGCTGCTACTGCATAAGAAGCTTGATCATGTGAAGGCTAAAATAATGGACAGACAACTGGTAGAAACCTTCAAAAAGTTGATGCTGAAGTCATTTATTTATCATTCCACCTGCAAATTTTCTCGAACAAATGGATGAACTTTATCGAAGGGATTAAGACATTTAGATTGGCCAGGAAGATCATGTGATCTTAATCCTTTGGATTTCTTTCTGTGTGGGTATGTGAAAAGTCTGGTGTATGGCAATAAGCTTCGAACTATTGAAGCACTCAGAGATAATATTCGACTCGTCATTGGCGAAATACAACCCGATCTCTGTCAGAAAGTAATTCTAAATTGGGCTTCTCGAATAGACGCCACTTGGAAGATGTTACTTTCCACACATAATGTCATAATATGTTCTTTAATCTAATCTAATCTAATGTTCATATTTAAAGTAGTATTCTATTTATTTATTACTATTACAAGCAGAATTCACATTGATATTGAAAATAAAGGAAAACGCTGTTCGTTGGAACCAGACGCTCCCATATCGGTACAGCTGCTGATAGTGCTGGAAGACGCCGACGCATTAGAACCTTGCATTTTTTCTGCAATTTGTATTTTGTTATGCACCGATTCTTCTAGGTATCCTTCTGCTACCGTCGAGGACTTCCATCCTCCGTGACGCTTCAAAGTAGTCTTGTTAGCCCCTGCATTGGCCAAAAGAGTCGCCGAAGACCTTCTCAGGCAGTGACCGGTGTAGAGCGCTGGTTCCTCCAATTTCAAAAAAAATGCAATTCTTGAAGGTATCTTTGACAACGTATTTATTCCCACACACTGGCTGGTACACCTACCATTTTTTTAAAAAACAAAAAAGCGGCTATAAATATTATTGTTTGGTCTCAAAGACATGTATTTTTACACAAATTGATCGGGTTGACTGGAAATTCTTCTTTAAGTATGATGAAACTTCTCAATTTCTTGGTTTTAGTGTCTGGCAAAACTACGTGAAAGTATTTCCCTTTGTCTTGATTTTGCCATATTTTGAAATGACGATTTTTATATAAAGGTGAATAGTTGAGCGAAGCATCGAGTATTTGGTCCATAGCGACGATGGGGCTAATTTTTTTTGCAAATGTAAAAAATAAGCCAATAGAACATTTTCATAGATACCTTTTATCTTGATTAACGTGAATTCATCCAAGACTGAAACATTTTGAAGGCCTGGCGGCCTCGTGGTATAAATCTTGGTATATATCTTTTGACATATCAATTTTAAAAACTACCTAGTTTATCTTGATTCTTTTTGGAATCAAAAGCCAAAATATTTAAACATCAAAAACAATCTCAACCCTTAAAATTAATAATCGTTTTGGACTTGAGTGTACGTAGATAAGCGGCACATGTTCGAGACAGCATCGGTCGCCATGACTGTTGAACTTGCGCCTGCTAGATATAGATATACACGGCTTGGCAAGTAAGCAGGCGGCAGGCCGTAAGCAGTAAGCAAACTGGGGGGCTATTGATATCTTACTTGGGCGGACAGTTATGTATGTTGCATCTGACGACGGTCGAGTCGGGTCTCTGGGAATCGTTGCAAAGTTCCGCCTCGACCTCCTCTCCAGTCACTCGATTCTGACACAAGGGACGTGACATCTTGTAGCCTGCAACAAAAATGCGCGGGGGTAACAAATGTTTCGGGATAATTTCCATTTTGATTTAGAGGCGTTGGACGTGCTATATTAATCCGTTGTTTAGGCGGCAAGAATGTTTATTAAAATAAATTAATTTAATTTTTTTTCTGTGTTATGAATTGTGTAATACGAAGGAAATTTTATTAATTAAAATAAATTATTATTGATAGCCACTAAATTTCTTATACAGGGTGTTTCACATTCGTGGCCCATTAGAAGTTTCTGGGAAACGGAAAAAGAAATTTTAAAAGCATTTTGAAAAAATGTCTCTTCCGGTTTAACCGGAAGTGACATCAACTTTGTTATTTCAAATAGAACACCCCCATATATATTTACATTTTTAAATTCTACATAACGTTTTGAGTCACTGACTGCTATTTTTTATCAGTAACTTTGTTTACAAAAAACTTATAGTAAATTTAAAAGGAAACGACGTACAAGTCATCGATGACGTCATAATTTTGCGCACTGGTACCAACACTAAATGTATAAAACGTCTGTAATTAAATATTTTAATGCATTTTAAACAACTTTAGTTGGCAGCAATTGCAATGTTGTCATGTTTAGATTAAAAAATGACGCATAGAAAAAGAAATGTGAAGCTGTCAGTTGTGTTTTTGAATATTTCGTTGAATTCGTGTATAATTTATTTTATTTGTTGTTTTTGTTATTTTATGTCGTTTAAGTTTCCATTGCCGTTTTTGTGTTTGTTATATATCGTTTTTTTGCCGAAGCATTTAAATAGCCGGAGTCAAGAGTTGGTATCATCCTTAATACGCTATTTTGAGGCAGAACGGGATAATAATGGACCTTTGTTACCTTTAACAGCTGTTAGAGAGGTAAATATGATTATTATTAATTATATATTAGAATATTTAACAAAATATATGTTGGATACATAAAATATTAATATATATATCAGGGACTGACTTTAGATGGCAAAATTTCTGGGTTTTATAGCTGAAAATGTCTTTAAAAATGGCTAAAAACATACTTTTGGCGGTGCATCATATAGGTTATATGAATCTGACTTTTGACATTTTAGTATTCTAAGCAGGTATGATTTATTATGTATGATTCTAAGGTCCCAAATCTAGGGACCCTATTATTCATGTAAACGCCATCTATCGCTCTATAGTTCCACTACCACTTTCACTTGATGCAATGATTTTAGCATCACATTGACAACCGCGCCCGATCAGCTGATTGATGACGTGTACGTCGTTTCCTTTTAAATTTACTATATTTTCTCTGCCTATTTATAAAAAATATGTTTATATGGGAAAATGTCCATATATTTTTAGTTAGGTATATTATACAAATTAGGCAATACACAGCTGCCTATTAAAACCCATTAAGTTTACCATAAACTAAAAAATATTTCTAAAAGTAATTTCTAGTAAGTAAATTTAACAAAAATAATCACTATAACACCAATAACAATTTATTGCACACTATCATTGAAATCAAATAAAATCATAGATTAATCCCGGCGCATCCACCATTTTTGAACATTTAATGATAATTATTGTGTTTCTTATAATTTCATGAATGTATATTTATTGACATTTAATTTTTTAGGTATTTTTTATATTCTTTTAATGCATTAAGTATACATAATACATAAACATGAAAACAGGGCAAAGCCTTTTACTTAATAATTGTTGGTCAATATTATTTAATTTATTAAAATTCACCCTATAATAGAAGTTAATTTTCATATACATTATATTTCATATAGGTACATATATATAAATATATAGTATAAAAAATACTTCGTCAATCATATTCACGATGTCATAAAATTTCGTATTTTAGAAAAAGCAATTAAAAACTTTTGCACACGAAAACCCCCTTTTAAAAGCTATACAGGGTGTCCGGGAAAATGTGGGAAATCTCTCGGATTCAGAAAATAAGATGACACGTTCCTATATATTAAAACGCTTTTCGGGATTTAATAGAGCCCTTACCACTTGAAACCCGCCTAAACATTCAGCGTTGCTGTGCGGGAGCACTTGAATAACGTTTATCCAAACCGTTGGATAGGTAGAGGAGGACCTATTGACTGGCCTCCTCGATTTCCCGACCTTAGGCTGATGGATTTTTTCCTGTGGGATACCTAAAAAAACTTGGTGTATTCCACTCCGATAGAGGAACTTCTACAGATAATCACGTTTTATTGTGATATGATAAGAAACAATTGGACGGCTTTCTGCAGAATGGGACCAACCCACACCACGATGAAACTGAGAAAAAAGCTATCAAAGATTTTAATAATTTTAAAATTACCTGTTAATTTTATGCCGATTTTGGACTTACGGAAGTTTAAGGGATATAATTTAATAATTTCATCGGGTGGATTTTGTGATGTTATGTGTAAGGGTGACGAAAAAAATGGGCTTTTGTTGGTTGGTTCCTTTCTGCAATTTATGAAAACTACTATCTGATGTATGTATGTATTTAAAGAAAAGCGACAATTATTTATTTCCAAACAAAATACAATTGATATTACTATTATAATGGTAATATGAATTAATTTTGATTCTATTTGAAATTCGTCCACATCATCTTCCAACCCCACCTCATCTTGTAAGCTACCAAAAAAATGCATCAAGACTTTATATTTTGCAGAAGCAGGAAATCTTTAAAGACTTTGGTAGTGGGTCTACCAGCCTGCTTTTTTACAAAAAAGATCCAACCCACTTGCAGATATTCTACAGATTCTAATTCTGGATTAGTAATCCACACTATTATTGAATGTTGGTTGGTTCAATGATTAATAGATTTTACTACACTTGCATTTTGGCTATGACCTATTTTGCAGATAAATTATACATACTTAATTAGTTCATAGGCTAAAAATCTCGATTTTTTTGGTTTTGTGGGTTGGTTCCTTTTTGCAGAAAGGCGTCCAATTCAGGGTTGTTCTGGCGGGTACAGCAGTCCTCAATTCGTCGTGCCCGCGAATTTATCAGAGTTCACGGAACCCATGTTGAACCCTCTTATAAAGTTTTTAATTAATTGTTTCGAATTATCGGCCTTCAATTTAAGGTTTGCAACAATACGTGATATTATTTTTTTATGGTCCTTTTTATTAAAAAATAAAACATGAATTTGTTTATTATTCTTTTTCTCGAAAACGGTTCATTTTATTGACAATAAACAAGAGTACCTTTATTTTAGCTTAAGGTTCAAGCTATGCAGATTTAGTTTTTTAAGTCTTTGTCAAAATTTAAGCATTAAAAAGTAAAACTTAGTCCGCCCCTGGTAAACAAAAAAAGCAAAACATGTTTCAATGACACTATTTTAAGAGGTCCTTACCAGGGTCCATCATATTAAATTTTTATTAAATTATATTTAGTACTTTAAAAGTTATTCAAGGAAAACCAATTTGCAGGGAAGTCCTTTTGGGGCCCTTGTCTCCGTAAGGATGGCCAGTAGGAAAAAATTTTATAGGAACTTGTCATCTTATTTTTTCATGTTCTATCTGAATCCGAGAGATTTCCCACATTTCCCGGACACCCTGTATACAATAATTACCTATATTGGTCAGCGATAAATAAGTTTTTTAAATACCTTCAATATAAAATAAAACGTATGCAGGGATTTCAATTAAAAACTAGTCACCCTTGAGTTATAGTAATTATTATATTAATATAAAACAGGACCTTACTAAAAAACTCAGACTCTTGTTGAACTTTTTGAAACGTTTCAGGAGTTATCTACCTACATTTTTGAATTATTAAATGACCTCAAAGAAAAAATTAAGTGGCGTTAAGTCTGGAGATCTTGTCGGCCATTCTTAAGCACCTCTTCTACCAATCAATATCTTGGTAAACCTTTGGTTCAACCATTATCTGACTAGTAAAGTATAGTGAGAAGGAGCTCCATCTTGTTGAAAGTATTCATTAAGCAACATGATTCTTTGTTCGTCTATTTGATTTTAAATGACTGGGTAATAAGTCGGTCTATAACATTTTCAAGACAGGATTTTCATTGTCCTAGTACCTACAATTGTGTTTATTTACCAATCCATATAGAAGAAAAGTAGATTCATAGCTTAAACAAACATCTTTTAATACATTGGGAGCAACCTCAATTCTTTGGGTCATTTTGTCACAAAACTGGATTCTTCTGTCGTAGTCATCTTCACTGAGTTGATGGCACATTTGAATTTTTTAAGGGAACACTTATTTATTTTTAGAAACTTATCGACGGGACCAACACAAATATTTGTTAAAGCACCTACTTTTGGAATGGATGTGGATGAGAACTTTAATGTGTGCAGCTTTATCTAGTATTGAATCATATTTACTATAACTCAAAAGTTGATTAAGACAAATTGATATCAACGGTATGATTGTTTTTAGTGACTAATCTTTATAGGTAATATATAAAGTGGTATGACACTAATTTGTATCCAAACCAAATTTCACCCATTGGATTTCAATGAGCCCTCGACAAAATGTAAATTAAAATGGGTGCTACTCACCTCCGCCGCACGTGGTGGAACACAACGACGTAAACGCCAGAGTCCAATGATATATCGGTTTGAAGCATGACGAGCCGTCTCCGCCGCAAACTCCGCACTCATCGATCTGTTTGCTGGATCCTATCCGCAAGTCGCATCCAACTTTCTGAAAAACAAATTCTCCGCTTCAATAACAGACAGCGGACGCAGACATTAGCACAACCAAGCCATCGAGAAGCCCTTCAGCTTGCTCTTGAATCCTTACGCAACATTACGTCGCTGATTATGCTTTTTAAAATTTTATAAAATCATCAATCTAGATGAGATACAAGTGTTAATTGTGTTTTGATCTTTCATAATTAAGTAGATATTACAGCTCAGGTTCCAGATTTTGAACCGCAATTAATTATTTTTTACAATGTTTTAAAAGTCTAAAACCTATCCTCCGTGACCGTTACTCTTTCTAGGTTAACCTATATGTTTTCAAATATCTGAGCATGCTAAAAATATCAGTTCACCAAGTAAATTAAACACATCCAAAGCAATGGAATCAAATATAAAATATTATAAAAAACTAAAAGAAATACTTTTATAACCATTTATGTAGGTGTTACAAAAATTTATTCTATCCTCCGTGAATCTGTTTTTGCTTTAAATTTTATGCAACGGATGGCGCTTTAATCATTTTAACTAAGCAAAAACCTCTGTTTGCGACATTATATATGCATGTGATTCCTAAAGGTCAGTTAGAATTTATATGCAGATGAGAGTGTTGCTGTTTTATAATTCAAAAGTTTAAGTTCATTAATTTGCTATTTAAAAACCTAACCACCGTGAAGTGTAATATCTCAGTAAGTAGATTTTTTTTTATAAATATTTTATGTACGTACAATTGTATTTTTAAAAAATATTAAGGTGTCAAAAGATACAATAACTTATTTCAAATATACAAAGAGATGTTTTAAAAAAACATACGAAATCCTAACCTCCGTGAAGCTTTAATATTTAAAATGTATGTTTTCTTAAAATTCTTGCATCTTGACATCTCAATATATTTACCCTAATGTGCTAACAACTAAAGTGGTTCATTATCGCCTAGGCTGTAAAACTGTAAAAATTCGACTACTGTCAGTTCTATCTAACCTTACTTTTTCTTTCATAATAATAATTATAATTGTACGATTTAGGTATCTTTTAACAAATATGTAATGCTGAGAAGTATCTTTTTGTGCTTTGCTCAATTGTAGGCCCAGCACAAGAAGACTAACTTGGCAGGCTAATTTACCCGAAAATTTAAAAAGTTTTTATAGTCACATCATATATCATTCAAGAAAAGTTTAAAAATGCACTCTCCAAATATTTATAAAAGCTTTTTAAGTTTTTTCATTTGGAAAGTTTTTGTTAAATATTACAAAAGATATCGTTAGGAAAGAAGCTTTTATGAAATCCTAATGGTAAAACCAACATTATCATTAAATCAAAGAAATGTTCATTTATCATGTATGAAAAGCATACAATTAAAAAGTATTATAATATATTTTTAGTCACAAATTTGTGCCTAGAAAAGTTTATAAACGAATTGCATACTATATTATTGTTACTTTAAAATATTAAAATAACTTCAAAATTTAATTATGTCTCACGTTACTTTGGTGGTAAGATTTTTGTTTTTTTGTTAAGAGCAGGGCTGTGTTTAAATTACAACAAAAAATATTTCTAAAAAGTGTACACATCAGTGTGTGGCATAAATGTGTTCCTCATGGTTTAAACATTGTCACTTTAATGCGTTTTAATTTTAATTCTGAAAACAAACAGTAAAGGCCAGTGTCCAATAACTGGTTGGTAAAAAATATAAATTTTTTTATTGAACATATACATGTATATGTTCAATATCATACTCTATTTGTATCCCGGACATTTACCAGCCAATTCTTATGTAAAATTGTCCCCTGCTTATCAATGTAGGAGTAGATTATCAATGTAGAAGTAGATAAAAATATTTTTAATTAAGTTTAGGTTTATTATTTTATTAGAAACGCCGAATATAAACAACGAAAATAAAAATAAAGTTTTCGTTTATTTATTAAGCTGGCTTGTAAATGCAACAAAAACGTTTTAAAATAAAATATCCAGAAAATTTTAATTGTAGTATTTATTAAAATTACTGTTGTAAACAACACCAAAACAAATAAAATAAATCCACAGAGAATTAAAAACATTTAATCAGAACCCCAAAAACGTTTAATCTCCCGAAATTGGAGCGCGCGATATCAAAACAATCCGAATCAATTATGACGCAAAACAGCACACATATGGGTCATTCTCACGAAAATCTGCATTTTCAGGTCTAGATACAAAAACACACAAAATAATTCGTTATTTTAAGTTTATACCGATGAGGTAAATTTCGTACCAAATTCAAAATATTATCATATCATATCATATTTTAGGTCTACTTTAAAAAGTAGACAAGCGTTACGCTTGCAGGGTCAGGTAGTCAAAAAATTGTACTTTATAAACCTTCAAATATCTGAGGTAGTAAAAGCATACTAAAAATATCAGTTCACTAAGTAAATTTAACACATGCAAAGCAATCGAATCAAATATAAAATATTATTAAAAATTAAAAGAAATAATTTTTATAACCATTTATGTAGGTGTTACAAAAATTGATTCTATCCTCCGTGAATCTGTTTTTGCTTTATATTTTGGCGCTTTAATTATTTTAAATAAGCAAAAACCTCTGTTTACGACATTATAGATGCATGTGATTCCTGAAGGTTAGTTAGAATTTATATGCAGATGAGAGTGTTGCTGTTTTATAATTCAAGTTTTAGTTCATTAATTTGCTATTTAAAAACATATCCACCGTGAAGTGTAATATCTCAGTAAGTAGATAAATATTTTATGTATGTACAATTGTATTTTTAAAAAATATTAAGGTGTCAAAAGATACAAAAACTTATTTCAAATATACAAGGGGATGTTTAAAAAAACATACGAAATCCTAACCTCCGTGAAGCCATCTTCCGTGAAGCTCTAATATTCAAAATGTTTGATTTCTTAAAATTCTTGCATTAGTGCAGAACCACTTATGTTATATTATTACTAAACCTGGTGGCTTCCCAAAAACCCCATTCTAGACTAACAGTGAAACAACCAAAATAAAAAATAATCATTTTCACCCTTATGTGAATCACCCAGAGAATTTTTGTGAGAATGAACAGTATCCATATTAACAAATTTATAGAAATTGGTAAAATTTAAAGTGTATTTCATCCTGCCACATTTCACACGTAAAATTTAAAATAAAACGTTTGTAATCAATGGGAATGTGTTGTCACGTTGTAATTCCATATGCAATATATCTGGAAAGCCATACCCTAAATCTGGCCGTCATGTGATTTATGATTGTTGATTAGCAATCCCAATGACCCCAATTCATTCAGGCTATGCATCCTTCATCTACAACCAGGTATCTACGCCACTGTCTATGCATATTCAAAGGCACACTGCCTGTGACATGGTGTCTCACGGAACGATTAATGCGTTTAAAAAAATTTTATTATATTTATGTTTACAAGAACTCCAAATAATAACATTTAAGCAAATTAAAGCTATCGATACACAGTTTAAAATATCTGTGGTGTAAAAAGTAATCTTAAAATGGTGTCAAAATTCAACACCAAGTGGTGTTAATATAAACACCATGAATTATGGTTGAAAATGTTATATACATCAACCACCAAAACGGTGTTTATCTAAAAATATTTGAAAAGTGCACCTATACACAGAAAAAAGGCATAGTTCATTTAACTATATTAATTTAGTTGATCCATAAGTATTTATTTAAATCAACTGTGGGAAGGTTAATATAAACAAAGATTAGTTTGACGGTACTAAACCAGATAGTTATTTTATTTTTTTTAAATTTGTTAAATTAACCCAGAAAACTTTAGTGAGACCAACCCGCTGTATGGTTCAGTTTACTAAATATTTTGTTTGTAAAATAAGTCACTTCAACCTAAAGCACTCTGTTAAAACAATTAAAACAATTTGCCGTGCATTCCTGGTTGCATAGTGTGTACCGATCGCGGCAAAGGCGGTGTGGATCACGTGATCTTCTTAAATCTCGCCTCTGTTGACTTACAAGAAGAGTATATAAGCTCAGGTAGTCCTTTGCTTTGGTGTGACACTACAAGTTGTTCGATACTAAAGAGACCTTAAATAGGTGGAAACAGCTGTCAATACTGAAGTATTTTAAGTTGGTGGAACGCACTAAAAACATTATCTCTAGCGAGTTGAAGGTTCAATTTTCTGGAATAATACCACTGGTAATATACTAGTAATGCATCAAGGAACTTCCTTTTTTTCCTTTTTTTCTGTGTAGCATGATTTAATTTGACCAAAAACACATAATATTTAACACTGAAAAGGAGTTCAATTTACACCAGGTAAAATTTATTTTAATACTGTGTGAAAGTTTAATTTACACTATTTTAGTATTTGAATTTACACCGGACCAACGAACCATATTTAACACAATTTTGGTTTGTATCGATGTAGACCATGTATGGTGTTAATTTGGTGTTAAAATGGTAATGAAATTTTGTACAGTGTAAGGAAAAATAAAAATTACATAAAGTGAATCCAAATAATAACATTTAAGCAAATAAAAGCTATCGATAAGGAAAAATAAAAATTACGTAAACTGAATCAAAAAGTTATGAAAACTGTATTATTGCTAGTCCCTGCTGTGGCTGTATCTCAAACTTTCTTTTCAAACTAAAAGCAGCTTTATCAATACCGGTTTTTACGTCAAAAGGTATTTACCAAACTTTGTTTAGGATTATAAAGGCTCTTATAATTTTTACAGCGTATTGACTCTTTTAAACTTTTCCAATATCATTTACCATCACCTGGTTTATGTGTATTTACATTTTAATTTTAAAGAAATTATTTATTTTTAATACAATAACTTCACATTTTTTAATAAATATAACAAAAAAAATTGTATTAATTATAAAGTTAATTTACGTTATGTTTATAAAAATAACACTCTTCCAGATGCAGAAACGCATTGATAAATATAGTTATTATTATTATCCAAAAAACAGTTCTATACCGTTTACAAAAACGTTGTAATATTAATGAAACCCTAATGGTAATTCATACAAATTTTGTAAAGTTTACAAATCCCTTTTCGTTTAAAATAAAACTTTTTTTAGAATATTAATAAAATTTATGTAAATTTAACAACAAATTCATTGTAAATTCAATAAACTATGTTCATTGTAACAATGGTCACATTTTCATCCTACTGTTGGGTGTTGTTTTTTTTTTTAAATAATTGCAAGGCATTAAAACAAATTATTTATTATAACAAAAAAATTAACTCATTTTATATGATGTACAAAATAAAAAAAAATATTAAACAACAAGTCTGCTTCGTTTATAGAAATATAGAAAACGTCGAACTTGTAATTTTTTAGTGATCTTTTTGATATTTTTATCATGCTAGATTTTACCACACTTCACTCACACAAGTGAAATCAATAATATTATAACACAGACTGTGGATTATAAAGTTATGTTCACCAAGGAGAGCGCTGGCCCTTTCCCCCTCTTTTTAAGGGAAATAACAAAAATTTTGTTACCATTGCAAAACAATAGTAAATATTAAAAAGTCTTTTTATAACAATAAAATATTTTTTCTACTCCCACCATTAAAACGCCCTTTATCGTACATGTTTCCATGAATCTAAGTGACCTTTTAAATACACATTGACAAGTTGTGGCTTTACGGCGCTTTAGTCACGGGCTGAAGTTAGTTTTAAGTTAGTTGACAGTTGTCAAATGTCATAAAATCGTTAAAATAAAGTGCCTTTCTTGTAAAATAATACTAAATGTGAAAATTATTTTATTATCTCAATACAAAAATACAAAAATATTAGATCGTTTCTCAGCGCCAATATTTGAAAAGTTTATATGAACATTGTACTGACCTTTTAATTTCGCCGGCAATAAACTATAACTTAAATTCGGGCACGGACTCTACTGTATAGTCCTCATAAAACATTTCCTTTACTTTCACTGTGAAAAACTGTCATTTTTCAATATACATTTCGATTTATAACTTTTATATTGTGTTTATAAAATGTTGGAGACAACCGAAATCTGGTTAAAAAATCAATATTGTCCCACAAATGATTTATTCTTGGACAAATAACTTTTGGTCTCCCAAAGTCCTCTTCGTCATTACTATAGGCATTTACATCATATATGGGACTATAGTCCCACATTATCACTTTACACAACACTCACAACAGAATGATATATAACCTCTTTATTTTAATTCTTACTTAACTCATACCCTTTCTGGGAATTAAAGTAACTCTGAGTTTAATATAAACTCGGGGATCAAAATGAATTGAAAAAACGCGAATTTAGTTAACTCGAAATTTAACTCGGGGTTTGAAGTTAAACCTCGGATTAAATCACATTGAAAAACTGGCCCTAAGTATCCAAGTTACTTTTAAGAATGTTTTTTTTCAAGATAGTCCCAGCTCTGATTACAGCTAATTAGAACTTACCTGACACGACCCATCGATGCACATGTCCAGGCTGCCCGGACGACATCGGGTGCCGTCGTGGACCTTGTCGGCCAACTTCGCCACCACGACAACTTGATCGGCCTCGATCTCGTTGCGAGTGGCTACCGGCTGACCCACGCAGGTGAGCGTGCACGGTTTCGTATCGTCTGAGTAATGCGGCGACCATTCGTAGAACAGGCCTTTGTATGGGCTTTTGTTGAACGCTTGACACTGATCCATGCGGAAGTCGCGAGATTCAGGACATGGCTGTAAGAAAACATACAGTTTTATTCACAATTCACAATTTTAAATTCTTTGTGCATTAATATAACTAAACACTGTTTCTTTGTTATCATTTAAAATAACTCGAAGTGTTGCGATTGTCAATTTGGGAAATAAGATGGACGAACATGGAAACATGTTGCTTGATAAAGGACATTAATAGGTCAATTCTGCGCACATCTGTAAGCATCTGTAACTTTCTATAAGCTTATAGACAATTTGCAATTCTGCGCTTCCTGAAGCTTACAGAAAATCTTATAGAATCGTAAATATTTACGATCGGGTGTTTCCCAATCGTTGCTAGTTACAGTTTGTTTTTGTTAGGTTATGTCAAGCTATTTTAAAGATTAAAAACATGAATATTTTTAATAATGTCAAAGTGGATATGATAATGGTAATATTTATCAATTGGGACAAGCAGCCTGGGCCAACTACATTAGAAATAATTTCAATTTTGACTAAATAAAACAATAATTGTATTAATACCAAAACTTAACATTTTTATTTTAGGTACATATGAAAATTAAATAAAATAATATTCTTAAAAAAAATAAACCACAGCCTACTCGGTCAAAAAAGAAATAAACAACAAAATAAATAAATATTCTAATTAGTAAAAAATTAATAGGTCAAATATCAAAATATATATATTTATATAATTTTCTAAATATTTTTTAATAAGCTCAAAATGTTGTTTTTGATTTTCTGCCCCTTGTTCAAATTTATCCTGCCATGGTTGGCCCAATGGATAATCTCCATCCATTGCATCCAAATAAAGTTCAACTGTTGAGGAGTGGTGTTTTTTTTATCTTTTTCTCTTTGTTGCTTTTGCGTTACCACTAACCATTGATTGACTTCTTCACTCAGCGCACTAACAATTTTATTCATTTTATATTATATGTTCTTTTAAATGTAAAATTATCTTACCACATTTTATTCCTCAGTTAGTTCGTTTATACTACTAATTAGACATTTACAGATAACATCCCAGAATTTCCACTTTTACGATTCTATAACTATTATAGTTACAGATCATTGTAAGTTATAGATTTACGAATTTACAGAAATTTTACGAGAACCCAGAATTGACCTATTATATAAATAAAATAAAATACCATTATATTATGTATTATATATAATATTATGTTGCCATAAATTCGTAGGTATATGTTGTTGTTTAAAATGCAGTTTTCCGCGTTTTTTAGAGAACTCAAATATAAAAATGGTTGATTTTAAGGTTATGTTTGTGCAAAAATTATTTTTTACCAATTTCTTAAAAATGTCCAAACTTAAATATAAATTATATTAGGTAAAGTTATCATTAGTTAATTCTGCACCAACAAATGAACTTACCGAATTGGATCTTTCGGCAAAACATGAAAATGCAACTATTTAGTTCTTGAATTTTATTTACAATTAAAAACACAATAATTCACCATGATCCCACACACTAACGTAACTATATAAGCATTAAAGCGTTGAGTTTCTTAATCAATGATATAAGGAATAATCAATCAAAATCGAGTACTAAAAAAGTTTTTTAATTTTTTCCTTGCAACGTAAAACACAAATAACGTGCGCGATTTAGCTGTACAATTGAACAAAATTTGTCGAGTAAGACTTCTGCCTTCCTCTCTTTTGTAAAAAAACTACCTATTATTTATTTAAAAATGATGTGCTTTAAATGTATTGTTGACAATTCTTAAATTCACGCAATGCATTCAAAGTCCACCAGATGGCGCGCGCGTTATGAAAACCCGATACTTCTTTAGCGTATAATATTTTTGTAAGGAATTCATTGTTTTATTTATCACACAATTTTTGGATCCAACTTGCAAAACCTTGATAAGATCAAAAATTAAATATTTTTTTATTGAAATCCCTGTATATCGTGGGGGATAGTGGGATAGTGACTGGGCTATAATAAAAATGAGTGCTCTCCAACAAAATATTAATTAAAAAACCTTTTATCCGGAACGGGTATATTTTGATATTAAATTATTAAAATTCAGTTGAAAAGAAAAATAAATCATAGCCTATCCAGTTTTAATAGCGTTTTCTCGGGAAAGTTATGCCGTGTATGCGAATAATTTCCAAAACTGACTAAATAATAAGTTCATATATTTATGTTTTGCCGAGGAAGATTTACAACATGCTATGAGGGTGAATATGTGGGCAGCTTTTTGTTGAAATACCCTTAATTCATTTAAGGATGTGACAGTTCAGATAAAATATATATTAAATACATATAAAAGTTAAATAACTCGTATAAATATTAAAACAGATAGGTATGCAGTGACATTGATATTTATTTATGTAATATTATTGATAAAAAAACATAAGAATCAATTTGCATAACTGTAGTTATTGGAGCAAAACTGAATAAAATCTTGTTTTTTTATTGTATCAATTTACAGTAAAAATGCATTACCAATATTATAAAAGTCCATTTATTTGGGAGTTGTAAAAAATGAGATCTTAATTTTAATATCTTAATATCGCACTTTTCGATTTTTCAAAAAAATAACATGATAAACTTTTTTTTTGTATCTTACCAACCAAAGATTATACAGAAAATGTGTTTAAATATTTTTGTATTGAATTAAATGCTCTACAAAAAATGTTTTTTATGATTTTTTGGTAAACCAATTGGTTAAAAAGTTTTTAAAGATCAAATTACTAAAATAATATGACAATTTTTTCAATTACATTTTTATTATGAAAACATATTTCTTTGCTGCCAGAAACTTCAGTATTTGATAACTCGATATGCCACCAAAATTTTTCATTAATTGATTTTGAATATAAGTTAAGCAATTTTTTTTTTATTATTTTACCAATAAAAATATTAGTTTTTAAACTCAGTTGGTAACACAATGTTAAAAAATTAAAAAATTTAAAATGTAAATTTTACATATTTGTTTTTTGCGTATTTAGATTTTAATTACAAAAGCACAAGCATGGATATTAAATTAATTAGCCTGGTGGAAAATTTTCCTTAATCCTATAAAATATTTCTGAAAATATAATTAAATAATTTAAAAACCAAAAACCTGCCGATTACCCACCTTTGCTTTCAACTAAAAATAATAGTTTAAATAAACATAAATTTGTTTTTTATAGTTTTTATACGTTCCGAACATTGCCTGACAGACGGCAACATACGAGGTGTGTTCAGAAAATAACGGAAATTGTTAAATTTCGCGGGTTCAGAGGGTCCGGTTGTCATAAAATTTTCTTTATTATGTTGGTATACATGCCCCCGAAGTATGATAAAAACTTTAGCTGTTTTCACTATTTACTTTGTCTGTGGCAGCCGCTAAGGTTAGACGTGTTTTATAAGCTCGGCGATTTTTCGTTCGTTAAAAGAAATGGATCAAATAATTTCTATCCAATTTTGCTTAAAAATGAAATAAATTCTGTGAAATGTTAACAAAGGCCTATAGTGAGTCTGCTATAAGTAAAACAAGAGTTTACAAGTGGTATAAGAGTTTCCAAGATGGCCGTGAAGACGTTGAAGATGACGAACGCCTCGAACGCACAAGCACATTAACAACCGGTAAAAACATGGAAAAAGTGGAAGAAATGGTTATAAACCATCAGAGAAGTCGCTGATGATGTTGGTATATCGATTGGCTCATCCCAAGAAATTTTTTCAAAAGTTTTGGGTATGAAAATTTGTTCTAAAATTGTTAAATTTTGAACAAAATTTTTAGCCAAAAACAATACTGTAATGATGCCCCAGCCTCCATATTCGCCAGACATGCCTCTGTCTGACTTGTTCCTATTCCCAAAAATAAAGAGAACCTTAAAGGGCCGTCGTTTTGCAAGCATAGATGACATTAAAAGCGCATCGCTGAAAGAACTAAAGGCTGTCCCAAAGATCGAGTTTTAGAAGTGTTTCAAGTATTGGAAGAAGAGCTGGCACATGTGCATAATATCCAATGGGGACTATTTTGAAGGCGACAACATTAATGTAGATGAATAAATAAATATTTGTTTCAAAAAACGAAAATTCCCGATATTTTCTGAACACACCTCGTATGTCAAAATATCGGTAATGCAGCTATAGCATATATGCTATATTATAAGTGGCATTAATTTTTAAGACTACGAGCCGCTAGGCGAGTGGTTTTAAATTAATGCCACGAGCGAAATTTCCAAGGAAAAATCTTAAGAAAATAAAAATCAAAAGATTTTTTAGGGAAAATTTTATTATATAGAATTAACTGCCGATTCAATTTCTGTATGATTTTTTTGACCAAAAGGCATGTTTTTTGACATTTTTATTTTAAAATCAAAAACTTCAACATTGACAATTATTTTTCGCATAGCAACCAATAGTAGTTTTATCGCTGCAAAACTGAAAAAACCGTTTTCTGAAATCTAATTGGACCATGGTCCATAAAGTAATGAGTGGAATAGTCGCTGCAAAACCGAAAAAAACACTCGTTTTTTGAACTCTGATTGGTCCATAAAGTAATGAGTGGAATAGTCGGTAAAAGAATGCTCAACTTATGTGTATCCAATACTAATTAATTTAAAAAAAATTGTGGCATATCGAGTTGAACTTTGATCTTTAATAACTTTTAAACCAATAAGTTTAGCAAAAAATTATAGGAAACCTTTTTTGTACAGCGTTTAATTTTCTACATGATTATCTTAATTCTGTATGGTTTGTGAGCTACAAAAATAAGAAGGAACAAAACAAAATTTCCCATGTTATTCTTATGGAAAATCGAAAAGTGCGACTAGGATGTAAAATTTCCCAGTTGACTTTAGGACACACAAATTTCCTTTCAAATTGTATAATTTTACATTTAAATATATATTAAAAATAATAATGATTCTGAAAATTTCAAATTGATATTTTGATTTCTAAAGGTCGCTTAAGATTTTTTTAACTTTCAAAGTAGAGTATTTTGAATGTTTTTGAGCGACCTCTGAATATAAATGTCAACAAACTTTCAGTGACCTTTAGAAAT